GGGGAAGCTGGGAGGGCCCAACGCTCCTGACCAGTCTGAGTCCCCCCCACAGACCCGCAGTTATCTGGGGGGACACCCGAGGGGAGCCCTGGCAGCGCATGGGGGGCTGCGTCCTGTGGGTGCCCCATTCCGCCTTCCCTCCCCCAGATTCTGTGCCGAGCGCCTCCGCTCCCTCCTGCACACCTTGGAGATCACCGACCTGGCCGACTTCTCCCCGCTCACCCTGCTCGCCAACTTTGCCACCCTGGTCAGCACCTACGCTAAGGGTGAGCTCCCTCTCGTGGGGCCCCACGAAGCCGGGAGGCGAAGGAACAGAGTGGGCCGTGGGGAGAGGAGCCCGGTGTGGGGGGGGCATGGGAGTTCTGAGCAATGGGTGCTGGGTAAGATGGGATGGGGACAGAAACCACACAGGAGAGAGAGGCAGGGGGGAGAAGGGGGTGGGGAGGGCATCCAGGGCCCTTGTGGAGAGCAGTTGGGGTGACGCCATTTCCTGGTTTGGGGGAGCGAGGGCAGTCTTCCCCTCCTCCCCCCTCAGCTTTAAGCTGATCCAGGGTTCTGTCTGATCCCTGATTAAATTCTGTGCAGGAAAGCAGGTCAAGCTGCCGGGCAGGGGAGATGGGGGTGGGGGGACCCAGCTGTCACCCCACCCCCCAGCCTATTGTGTGCTTTTTAATTTTTGCTGTTCTATAGGCTCAACTCCAGGTGCTCTACCACTTGAACCTTGTGCCTAGTCCTTTTTGCTTTATATTTTTGTATGGGGGGGGGTCCTTTTTGCCTGGGGTGGCCTTGAGCCTGACCAAGGTCTCCCCAATCTCTGCCTCAAGCCATTTTTGTCTTTTTTGGGGGGAGGGGTAACCCTGGGGAGTGAACCTGGGGCTGGAGCTGGCCAGGCAAGCCCTGTTTTTTTTTTTGGTCGGTTGTGGGGATTGAACTCTGGGCCTGGGCGCTGCCTTTCAGCTATTCAGCTCAAGGTGAGTGCTCTACCACTTGAGCTACAGCGCCACTTCTGGTTTTCTGGTGGTTTATTGGAGATAGGAGTCTCACAGTCTCTCCTGCCCAGGCTGGCTTTGAACCGGGATCCTCAGATCTCAGCCTCCTGAGTAGCTAGGATGACAGGCGTGAGCCACCAGCGCCCGGTGCAAGCCCTGTTTACTTGCGCCTTCCTCCTCCTGTGCCCATCCCTGTCTACCCTGCCTGCCCCCTCGTTCTTCCCGCCCCACTCCTGCCTAAATGAGCGCACACAGAGGTTTATGTGGGCTCTCTCCCATCACCCTCACCCCTGTACTCGCTCCTTCCAGCTCTGAGTGTCTGTCTGCCCCAGGCCTTCCTGGTGGGCTGTGGGCAGCCAGGTGGTCCCCGTGCATGGGGCTCGGCCACAAAGCAGCAAGCACCTCCTCCTGGCAGTCAGTCTGGACAGGAAAGGTTGCTCATGCTGTGTGCCAGGCTGAGGGGGCCTGTTGAATGCTGCCTGGCATGTGCAAAGGCCCTGGGGGAGCAAGGAGGCAGCCAGTGACCCCGAGGTGGTGGCATGGTGGGGTCCCAGGAGGACTGGGGCAGAGCCTGGCTTGGGGTTCCATGGCAGGACACGGGTGGGCCCGGGCAGCATGGGCTGGCGGCTGGGCTGTATGGGGATGGCAGTGGGGTTGGGCCGTGGGAGGAGGCAGAGTTTTGAGGCTCACTGCTGGCTCAGAAGGATGGTGGGCCTCGGTCAGGGTGCTGAGCAGAGGAGCCGTGGCGCCCAGAGAAGTCGAACGTGGGTGCTTTGTGCTCGGTGGCCAGCGCCCCACCCTGTCTGCTCATGGGCCTGGACGTGGACGTGGCATGTGGTGACCACTGTGACACGCCGCCTCTGTGCACTCAGGCTTCACCATCATCATCGAGCCCTTTGACGACAGGACCCCCACCATCGCCAACCCTGTCCTGCACTTCAGGTGGACCCCGTGGTGGTAGTGGTGGGGACCCCGGCCAGCCTGGCCCCCCCGCTAGTCCTCACTGCCTCCCTGTACTCCCAGCTGCATGGACGCCTCCCTGGCCATCAAACCCGTGTTCGAGCGCTTCCAGTCTGTCATCATCACATCTGGGGTGCGGCTCACCTCCCCGTCCCTATCCCCTTTTCCCCGGCCCCCCCTTGGGTCCTGCCCCCCGCCCTCCCACTGCTCACAGCCTTCCTGCTGTCCCCACCACAGACTCTGTCCCCGCTGGACATCTACCCCAAGATCCTGGACTTCCACCCTGTCACCATGGCAACCTTCACCATGACGCTGGCCCGGGTCTGTCTCTGCCCCATGGTGAGCCCGCCAAGGGTTGTGGGCCAGAACTGACTGCCTGCCCACTGCACAGGGCATGTAGCATGCACACAAGGTGATTGTGGGGTGCATGGGAGGGTGCGGGGAGAGGTGTTTCACAACCAGGGCCACTGGTGAGGAGCATGGACAGACTTTGGTTCAGTTCCTCCCCACCTGCTTATCTGCTGTGTGACCTGGGGCAGGTGAGTTGCCTGCTCTGTGCCCAGTCTCTGAGTGGCGCAGAGGACAATCACCCACAAACCCCTTCTGGGGGGCTGACGCAGTGGCAGGGGTCGGTGTCCACACCACCACGAGCGCCCGCTGCATCCTCAACACCACCTCTGCTCCCTGCAGATCATTGGCCGTGGGAATGACCAGGTGGCCATCAGCTCTAAGTTCGAGACCCGGGAAGACATCGGTGAGCTGTCCATGGGGGTTGCCAGTGGGTTCTAGGGGTGACATCATGGTGCTGTACTGAGAAACCCCGAGTCCCTATGGCTTCATGCTCAGTATCCTCCCCTGGGGCTCTAGCTCTGGAGGACTGGGGAATAGCTCACTCCCCGCTCCCCGCCCCCCGGGGCTTCTGGGAAGTTCATGTTGAAGAAGGGTTGTGGGGAGCCCGCCCCAGCCAGATGAGCACCTCTCGCCTCACCCCCACAGCGGTGATCCGCAACTACGGCAACCTGCTGCTGGAGATGTCCGCCGTGGTCCCGGATGGCATCGTGGCCTTCTTCACCAGCTACCAGTACATGGAGAGCACCGTGGCCTCCTGGTATGAGCAGGTACGCTGGCCCCCCACTTCCTCAGAGGCACCCCCCAACAGAAGTAGCCACCCCGCCTCTGGGCTCCCTCAACTGCGACCAAATCCCTCACCACTTGTGAAACCAGGCAGCAGGCAGGTGTGGCCCTACTGGGTGCCGTGGTTAGGAGGATGTTCTGGAGAATTAAGGTTGGACTGGGGTTGGGATGAATGTGGAGTGGCACCCTGGGAAGTGCGTGGGGTATTGTGGGAGCAGGACTCAGCACAGCAGTGTACTGGGTTACTGGCAGAGCGGGATGGCTGGCCCAGCCATGCGCCATTTACGTCCCAGTTAGAAAACCTTTGAGCTGAGCATCATAGCTCATGCTTGTAATCTCAGCACTTGGGAGGCAGAGGCAAGACTGCAAGTTCAAAGCCACCTCGGGCTAGATTTGTCTGTCCCTCACTCATGACATAAGTCTCCTGGACTTGTTCTCGCTGTAACTCTGGTCTATCTTTGTGTATGCAGTGGGGTCAGTTTGTTTGTTTGTTCCTGTGTGGAAATACACTTGTATTCATACCATGGTAGGGAAGAAGCTCTCCCCTCTGAGGGCCCAGCTGCATCCTGACATCAGGGCGGCCTCTGATTGGCTTATAGTCAGGCCCTCCACCAATCGCTAGCCAGGATGGTGTAGCCTGATTGGCCACCTTAAGCCATACCCTCCCACGCATCTGGAGGAGCTCAGGAATGGCTGCACACAGGAGGCGGCCGTTGGCCTGGGTTTTACCAACATGGCCAGGCCCTAGGTCCATGCCCCGCCTGACCTCCAGGTGTCGTCCTGTCCCAGGGCATCCTCGAGAACATCCAGAGGAACAAGCTGCTCTTCATCGAGACCCAGGACGGGGCTGAGACCAGCGTGGCCCTGGAGAAGTACCAGGAGGTGGGAATGGGGGTGAGGGCGGCCCGGCTGGGAAGGCAGTGCAGGGGGACAGTGTAGGGGTGACCCCCTGAGCCTTGGCTTCCCCTAGGCCTGCGAGAATGGCCGTGGAGCCATCCTTCTCTCGGTGGCACGGGGCAAGGTGTCTGAGGGCATCGACTTTGGTGAGTGCTCTCCCCCTCTCCCCCTCCGCACACCAGGTCGGGTGGCGCTGGGTGCACCCGTAACTCCCTCCTACCCCCAGTGCACCACTACGGGCGTGCCGTCATCATGTTCGGTGTCCCCTACGTCTACACCCAGAGCCGCATCCTCAAGGTGAGTCTGTGGCCTTGCAATGGGAGAGCGTGGCCCCGGGTCTTTGCCTCAGGACCTGGCCCATCCCCTGGTCCCCCCCCCAACTGCAGGCCCGGCTGGAGTATCTGCGGGACCAGTTCCAGATCCGAGAGAATGACTTCCTCACCTTCGACGCCATGCGCCACGCGGCGCAGTGCGTGGGTCGAGCCATCAGGGGCAAGACTGACTACGGCCTCATGGTCTTCGCTGACAAGGTACAGGTGGGGGACCCTGGGAGGGTGGGGGACCCTGCGGAGGGGGGCCTGCCAGCCTGGGGCTGCCTCCCCTTCTAAGGGGGGCAGCACAACCTCACGTTCCTCGGCCCCCCCCACCCCTCCCCGTGCTTGAAGCGCTTTGCCCGGGCGGACAAGCGGGGGAAGCTGCCCCGCTGGATCCAGGAGCACCTGACCGACGCCAACCTCAACCTCACGGTGGACGAGGGGGTCCAGGTCGCCAAGTACTTCCTGCGGCAGATGGCGCAGCCCTTCCACCGGGTGAGCCCCAGCTGCTCCTTCCTGCCCCTGGGTTTACCTGGATGGCCACGGTGGCTCAGTCCTAGCCCGTCCCCCTCCGTGGCCCGCAGGAGGACCAGCTGGGCCTGTCCCTGCTCAGCCTGGAGCAGCTGCAGTCAGAGGAGACGCTGCGGCGCGTGGAGCAGATCGCCCAGCAGCTGTGAGCCCGGGGACCGGGGTTCCCCCCCCGCCCCCCCCAGGTGACAGACACGCCGAGTGTGGTCGCAGCCTTTAATTGCCAGCCTCTGCCCCCACCCCAACTTTGCGGGTCGTTGCAGCTGCAGTGCGGTCCACCTAGCGCGGGCTCAGGTCCTGGATGCTGGCGCTCAGGTGCCGGGCGGGAAGCTGGGGTGGTACAGGCACAGCTGGAGCTGTGTGTCACCCCGGGTCCCCCCCCCCCAAGCCCTCCTGGCCCCGGGAACCCCCTCACCTGCGTCCTGGCAGCCCCAGGGCTGTCCACATTGAGCGTGCTGAGCGACATGGCCCTCTTCATCCTGCGGGGACAGCGCAGGCGACTCAGCCCCCGGGAGGCGCCGCCCACCTGGGCCCGCCCCGCCCACCGGGGCCCACCTGGGCCTACCCCGCCACGCCCGCCATGCTGTCACCACGGAGGCGGGAGACCAGCTTCTCACTCCCTCGCTTGATGGACTCCCGGAGCTTGGAGAAGGAGCTGCTCCGTCGGAAGGCCTGGGGGAGGGGGGGGGGTTGTCAGGGGCCAAAGGTCAGGGGTCATTACCCCCTTCCTACCTAGGGTGGCGGAAGCAGTCCACCCACCCCCTCACCTGCTGCTCTGCATCACCAGCTGTGCCTGTGCTGGGGGTTCCTGAGGGGACAGAGGGAGCATGATGAGCACCCCAAGAAGCCGGGGGGGGGGGGGGGGGGGGGGGGGGAGGAGAGGGAGACATGGGGAGGGGCGGGGGCTCACCTAGGGAGGCGGGCAGGCCTTCCGGGCCCAGGATCTCCTTGTACAGTGCCTCAGCCTGCTCATACTTGCCCTGCTTCAGGTAGGCGGAGGCCTGTGGGTAGGACAGAGTTCAGGCTCCCATCTTGGGAGGCTGGGAGCTTACTTCTTGGGGAGACCCCAGCACCCCGCCCCAGCACAATCTCTGCACCCACTGTTCTCAAGCCTCTTATGCCCAGAGGCGGAGGCCAGGCAACTTCCTGTCTCGTGTTCTCCACCAACATCCGTGTGCCTCCGTTTCCGTATGAAGTTGGGGGACAGCCACTCTACCTCATTGGGTTACCCCAATAAAGACCTATGCTGCCTCTGGCCTCCAGCTGCCTGGAGAACGGTCCCTGGTGTTTTTCTGCTCACCCCCCCCCTCCCCCGCCCCGGCCCCGGGGTGGCCCAGGCACCTCACCAGGTTATTCTTGGTCTTGGCCGCGTTGGGGTCGTGGGGGCCCCCCAGAGCCTCGTAGATGCTCAGGGCCCGGGCGTAGTGCCGCTCCACGTCCTCGAACTTGCCCTGGTTCTGGCACAGCAGCGCCAGGTTGTTGAGCTGCTTGGCCACGTCCGGATGGTCAGCACCCAGGACCTGGGGTGGGGGGGGGAGGGGGACACATCAGGAAAGGAGGAAGCACTGTGGGGTGCACCACAAACCAGACCAGGGAGGTCAAAGGTCACAGCAATCCAGAGCCGTGTGGGGGGTGTACGGAGTGGAAGCAGATGGTGTCAGGGCTGGGGCAGCCAACGGCACAGCTGGATGGATGGGGACTTGGGGGTCTAGGGGTTGGGGACGGGACCTTCTCCCGGATCTCCAGGGCGCGCTGACACAGGGGCTCCGCCTCGCGGTAGCGGCCGCGCTTCCCATACAGGACGGCCAGGTTGTTGAGGGTGGCGGCCACCTGTGGGGTGGGGACAGCGCGGTGAGACACAGCCCAGCCCCCACCCCCACCCCCACCCTCGAGCCCCACTCACCGCGGGGTGCTCGGCGCCCAGTGTCTGCTCCCGGATGTGCAGGGCGTCGTGGAGGAGCTCTGTGGCCTCTTTGTATTTGTTCTGGTCCCTGCGGGGCAGTGCGACACCGATGCCGCAGGCTGGGCTCAGTCGGGCACCCCGGGGCTCCGCAACGCCCCATCCCTGCTCCCTCCCCCACCCCTCCCCGCATCACCTCTCGGTGGGGGGGGGGGGGGGGAGACCCTGGCCCCCGCCATCCTCACCGGTATACCAGCGCCAGGATGTTGAGCATGGTGGCCACATCGGGGTGGCAGTGGCCCGAGCTGCGCTCCAGGTCCTCCAGGGCCTGGCGACACAGGGGCACGGCCACCTCGTAGCGGCCCTGGCCCGCGTACTGGATCACCAGGTTGTGCAGAGTGCGCAGGCGCGCGGGGATCTCGTAGCCCCCCTGCTGGGCAGCAGCCACCCCCGCCGCCTCGGGACCTGGGGGGGCATGATGGCCAGTCACGGCCAGCCCTGAGGATGACTGCCATTACGCCTGCCACAGACCTTGGTCTGCCAGGCCCCCCACCCCCCACCCCGCCCCGTGTCAATGGGCCCTGCACCCACCTTTCCTCTCTTCCTCCTCGCTGGGGAACAGGGAGGCCAGGCTGTCCCATCTCAGCCTCCCACGCGCTGGGATTACAGGTGTGCACTACCACACCTGGCTCTGGACTGGGGTTTGGGAAAGGAGTTCCCTGGCCTTCGGTGGGGGGGGCGGTCTTTGTTGATCCTGGGGAGTTGGGGGTGCAGAGGGGGGATGCGGGGGGACCTGGCTGTCCTCGGGCGGGTCATACTGCCGCAGCTGCCCCAGGAACTGGAGGTGGCTCTTCTCCTCCTCCAGCTGTGCCACGGCCTCCTCGCTGGCCCGCAGCCGCCGCTGCGTCTCCTCCAGCTCTTCCCGCAGCCACGCGTTCTCCTGCGCCAGCCTCCGCGCCTGCGCCCGCAGCCTCTGCTTCTCGGCCTCCAGCACGCCCACGTGGGCTGACAGGGCCAGGAGGACCTGAGGAGGGGCAGGGGCAACAAGTCAGGGGCCGGGAGCCACCCAGTACACGCCTGCACACACACCCCCATTCCACCTGGGACACCCCAAGATGCTTCAGCCCCCACCAGTGGGACCCCACCGACTCTCACCAGGACCTTCTTCTGCTCTGCTGCCTGGTATATAGGACACACCCCAATACCCCTCCACCCCTAGGCCTTCCTTGCAGCCCCGCCAGGCCTTGGGTACCTGAGCCTCGCCCAGCCCCAGCTCGATGGCCTCCAGCGATCGCTCCACCACTTGCTGCTTCTCCTCCAACAGCTCGGGGCCTCCAGGGCCCAGCGCCGCCCGCTCTGCCAGGTGCCCGGCCAGGCCGCGGTGCTCGGCCCGCAGCGCCTCCAAACCCTGCACCACCTGCCGCGTCTGCCGCACCAGATCCTCGGGGGTCAGGCGCTCGGGGCCCAGCCCCACGCTTCCTGGCGACACCACCTGCACTGACATGGCTGAGAAGGGGAGATAGAGATGAGGGAGTCAGGATGGGAGCCAGACCCCCCCCCAAACCTTCCCGATGCTCGCCTGCCCCACCAGGACCCTAGGGCTCTCCCCCCAGGTGGTCAACAGGCGCACCCCTACTATGCGTGGTCACCTGGGGGCCAACAGCTGGCAGATGTCCCCAGCTCACCTGGCCAGCCCAGTGCACCCCTAAGGCTCCCAGACGCCCAGCCCAGAGCTGGCCGGCGGCTGGCAGGGAAGGCGGGGCATGAGGAGGCGGGGCGGCGCCCCTGAGCTCATTCTGGGGTGTTTTTGTTGGGAACCAGTCAGACCACTAGGGGGTGGGTGGGGCTGGGAGCCGGAAGCAGCGCCACCTCCCCGGGGAAATGGGGAAGGGGCTTGGGTGTGGGCTCTGGAGGCTCCTCCCCCCACCCCCCCCAGCCCCCCACTCCCCCCACCCCCCCACTCCCCCACCCCCTCACCCCCCCCCATCCCCCCCACCCCCCCCATCCCCCCCCCCGGCAGGGGATACAGGCCCCACTACCCATCACAGGCCTGCAGGGACACACGTGTGTTGTGGAAGGTGCGGCCCACGGGTGGGACTAGCGGAGGCCACTCGAGGGTCTGATACGGGCGTGGGGGAGATGGGGACCCGGCCTGTGCGGCTGGGACAGCACATCCAGGCAGACATACAGCTGGTGGTGCTAACCTGGGTCTTGGGATTGCCAGAGACAGACAAGACAGACAGACACACCCTGCATCCCTTCTGGAAGACATAAGACCTCATTCTCAGAAACAACTCCACACACCCACACTCCCTTCTTTCCAGTACAACCTGACACACGCCCTCTCAACACACACGTGAACCTTCCCTCATTCCCAGGGCCCAGTGGCTCACACCTGTACTCTCAGCTATGCACGGGGCTGAGATCAGAGGAACATGATTCAAAGCCAGCCTGGGCAGGAAAGTCAATGGAACTGTTATTATTATATTATTATTATTATTTTGGTTGGTCATGGGGCTTGAACTCAGGGCCTGGGCACTGTCCCTGAGCTCTTTTGCTCAAGGCTAGCACTCTACCACTTGGGCCACAGCTCCATTTCTCACTTCATGTTGGTTAATTGGCAGTAAGAGTTTCATTGACTGCCAGGTGCTGGTGGCTCACGCCTGTCATTCTAGCTACTCAGGAGGCTGAGATCTGAGGATCACAGTTCCAAGGCAACCCAAGCAGAACAGTCCATGGACTCATCTCCAATGAACCACCAGAAAACCTGCTTTGAGAGGAAAAGCCATGCAAGAGTATGAGGCCCTGAGTTCAAATCCCAGGACTGGCACAAAAAGAAAGTGAAAAATCAAAACATGTGGAAACTCTCAGCTCCCTGCCACCTTGCTTCTGAAAACTACAGCCAAATTCCAGGACACTTGTATGTGCTTGTCCTGTTCACACAGGGTCCCCTGAACATAGAACACCCCATTACCAGTCCACCTACCACTCTGGATTTGCTAGGCCTTCTTCCCCTGCCCCTCCACCTCCATGCTGGCTATGCTAGCCTGGATAAGCAGACGGAACATGCATTCAGAGGAGACCGGCCTGAACTTGGGCTCTTTCATTGTGCCCAGGGTACCCTGCTTCTGAACACGCTTTGCCCATTCATCACCCTGTGCCTCACTCTCTGAAGTTGTGCCTGCATGTGTATGTGCAGCTCTCTCACGCAATCACCCCCAATGAACCCCTTCCTTATTGGAGACAGGGTCTCACTCTGCAGCTCAAGCTGGCCTGGAAGTCACAATCCTCCCGCCTCAGCCTCCTGAGCACTGGGATTACGGGCATGTGCCCCCATCCTCAGCTGGTCCTAGACGCTATCATCTCAAGGATGAATAGTATAGATCATGCCTCCCCCATGATACTGGGGCGGACAGGGAGCGGCCAGACATCAGAGGGGAACGAACACACATCAGACCACCAGCCTGGGACTGGCTCCAGGGGGAGACTGCTTGTCTGTCACAGGGAGGCCCTGGCTTCCGTCCCCAGGATCACAAAAACAAAGGGGGGGGGGTGTCAAAATTCCAAATTTCAGAGCTGGAGGCATGACTCCAGTGGTAGAGGACCTGCCTCAAGCAAGCATTAAGCCCTGAGTCCAAACCCCAGCCTGCTCTCAAAAATCTAAAACCATTTTTTTTTTTTACAGACGGTAACAACACTTCCACACCACGATAAAGCCAAAAAAGGCCATCAAAGCACGGTGAAAACCATGGAGGTGGCTCAGGCCTGTAATCCCCGCTACTCAGGAGATGTGAAGGTTGACAGTTTGAAGCCAGCCTGGTTAGACAAACCTTGAGAGACTTTAATCACTCACATCTGGTTGGATTGTTACTGATGAATCCCCAGCGAGAAGTCAGAAGCGGAGAAGGGGCTGCAGCGGGGCCAGCCTCGGGTGAAGAGGCTAAGCATGCGTGCAAGGCCCCGAGTTCAAGCCCCAGGACCCGCACAACCCCCCCTCCCTCCCGCAGAGCAATCCGATCTGTCCGCACACACACCCCACGCACCCCCGGGCCCGCCAGCACCGTCCACTCCCCACCTGCACACTGCCCCCTCCAGGTGCCCCCCACACAGCCCGGGGCACCCCCACTCACCTCCCGAGCGGTGACCCCAACACACACACACCAGCCCCGCCGGCACCGCAGCCAGGAGAATCCCCTCCACCGCCCCATCTCTACCCCACACACCAGCTGCGCGAACCATCCTGCATCCCGAACCGGCCGCCGCACCCCAGCTCAGCAGCCCGCGCACCCCAACTCCCAGCTCGCAGCCGTCACAAGGGCCCCCCCTCCCCTAGGCCCCGCCCTGCTCCTGTTTACCTGCGCCCGCTGGGGGGTCAAGGCGAAGGGGGCGCGGCCCCAGCCAGGCCCCCTCCCCCCCAGAGCCACGCCCCCACCCCCAAGGTTCCCCAGACCCTAAGGAGCCCGGATGTAGGGGGGCGCGTCCGGGACCCAAGGCCCAAACCCGCCTTCGCAGGGCCAGCGGACCCCAGGTGCACCAGGCCTCGCCCCGCGTCCCCACCGTGGCTCTTGGGACCCCCCGGGACCCACGCCCGGCGCCCACCTGGCTGCGGAGAGTCCGCGCCGTCGGCGGCGCCCCCTGCGTCCCGGCCCCACCGGCCCGCGGCTCTGGGCGGCTCGGGAGGCTCCCGGCGTCTCTTCCAGGGCGGCTCCGCCGGGGGCGGGGCGTCGGTCTGCCACGCCCCGTGAACACCACGCCCCTACAGGTGCGCAAGCCACGCCCACCGAGTCTCAGCGGGTCTTCCAGGGGCGGGGCGTCCACACACCACACCCTCTACAAACCACGCCCATCGTCCTTCAGCATCCGCTCCCCGCACGGCTCCGCTGGGGGCAAGACAGCCACACGCCACACCCTCCGGAGATCACGCCCTCTTCAGGCCACGCCCACGGCGTGTAGGCCTCGCCTACCGCCGCCCGAAGTGGGAAGCCGGGCTCTGGGAAGCCGCGGATGCTGGGATCTCAGAGGAGATGGACGCAGATCGCGCGCAGGGCCCACGCCGGGCCTTAGCCTTGGCGGTGCCCCTTCTGCCCACAGTCTCTTCTATCCCGGGCCAGCCATCATCTCAAACGCTGCCCTCTCCACAAAGCCTTCCCTGATTGCTGATGGTAAAGGGCAGGACCCCACCCAGATCGCACCTCCTTTCCCTACGGAGCTGCGTGTGCGCCAGCCCGACCTGGGATTTGAACTCCAGGCCTGGGCGCTGTCCTTGATCTTTTTTTTTTTTTTTTTTAGTTTTTGATCCAGGCTGGTGCTCTACCACTTGAGCCTCAGCTCCAGTTCTGCCTTTTTGGTGGTTCACTGGAGATAATTTGACCCTTCATTCCTCAGATCTCAGCCTCCCGAGTAACTAGGATTACAGGTGTGAGCCACTAGCACCTGGCTTCCTGCTCGATTTGTTCACCAACTTTTCCTTTCCTTTTAAAAAATTTTTTTGGTCGGTTGTGGAGCTTGAACTCTGGGCCTGGGCACTGTCCCTCAGCTCTTCAGCTCAAGGCCAGCGCTCTACCACTTGAGCCACAGTGCTACTTCCGGCTTTTTCTGCTTTTGCGGTGCTGAGGAATTGAACCCAGGGCCTCATGCATGCAAGGCAAACCTTCCCAGCTCTTCCTTTCCTTTTTTCTCCTTTTTCTTTCCTTTGTTCTTGTAATTGAACTCAGGGCTTCCTGCATGCTAGACAATCATTCCTTTTCTGAGCTCTGTTCCCACTGAGTCTTAAAACAGTAGGTAGGTAGATAGATAGATAGATAGATAGATAGATAGATAGATAGATAGATAGATAGATAGATAGATAGATAGATCTGAGAGTAGGACTGAAAGTATGTAGTCCAGGATGGCTTCAATCTCTCAATCATTCTTCCTCAATCTCTTCTGCATGCTAGGATTATAGGTGTGTACCACCACACTCCACCTCAGACTAACATGTTTGGTTTTTTTTTTTTGCAGGTCATGGGGCCTAAACTCTGGGCCAGGCACTGTCCCTCAGCTCTTCAGCTCAAGGCTAGTGCTCTACCACTGGAGCCACAGCGCCACTTCCAGCTTTTTCTGCTTATGTGGTGCTGAGGAATCGAACCCAGGGCCTCATGCATGCGAGGCAAGCACTCTACCACTGAGCCACCTTCCCAGCCCACGTGTTTTTGTTTTTGTTTTTTTAATAATATATATCGTCGGGGGACAGTGGCTCATGCTGTAATCCTAGCTACTCAGGAGGCTGAGATCTGTGGATTACAGTTCAAAGCCAGCCAGGGCAGGAAACTCCGTGAGACTCTTATCTCCAGTAAACCACTAGGAAACCGGAAGTGGTGCTGTGGCTTAAGCAGTAGAGCACTTGCCTTGAGCTGAGAGCGCAGGGACAGTGCCCAAGCCCAGAGTTCAAGCCCCACGACCAACAAAAATAAAATAAAAATAAAAAATATATATCATATATCATATGATTTTTTTATTTGTTGCTCTGGTCCTGGGGCTTGAATTGAGCACCTGGGTGCTGTCCCTGAGCTTCTTTGCTCAAGGCTAGTGTTCTAGTACTTGAGCCACAGATCTATTTGACTTTTTGGTGCTTAATTGGAGATAAGAGTCTCAGGGGTTTTCCCACCTGGCCTGGCTGAACCTTGATCCTCAGATCTCAGCCTCTTTGGAGGATTGTTTTATTTTGCACATTTTGCATTCTTGGTGCGGGGTTGTGATGGCCAAGAATCGGGCTCTGAATTCATATTCCAGTACTTCCCTACGGCTGTGAGGCCTTGGGTAAGTAACATAACTTCTATGTGCCTCCGTTTTTCTTTTTTTTTTTAATTTAATTTTATTTTATTCGAGAACATACTGTACAGAGGGGTTACAATTACATGGGCAGGATAATGCATACATTTCTTACCAAGCATTCAGCCTCCTCCTTTGTTTACCCTTCACCTCCCTTCCCAGCCTCCCCCCTCCCCCTGTGCCTCCGTTTTTCAAATCTGATGCTGGTCAGAGAACAGGAGTGAATGGAGTAATGTGGACCTGGGCCTGGCTGAAGCTAGCTTTTAGTTTTACCTACCAACTGCAGTGTGGCAGGCTCTGAACCATCTGGATGTAGCCTTAGCATCAGAAGGGAGCCTAGCATGAAGCAAGGGCTGGATAAATACTTGTGGGGTGACTGATGGGATGAATCAAGTCCTAGAACCCTAAAATGCTTGAACCACTCACCCATACCCCGTACCTCCGTGGTCTGCAGCTGCTGCACTATGGCCTGTGTCCACCAGAGGGCGCTGCAAGCCCACGGGCCGAGCCCAGCCCAGGAAAGCTCTGCACCTTCCAATTCTAGAAAGGGAGGGAGTCCTCTCAGAGCCCCTGGCACATGCAACCTCCTGCAGGAAGCCTTCTGGGAATCCCTTCCCCCAGATGCAATCTCTGAGACTCCTGCATTTCATTCTTGCCCACTCTGGGTCATATTTCTTTTTCTTTTTGGTTGGTCATGGGGCTTTAACTCTGAGTGCTGTCCCTCAGCTCTTCAGCTCAAGGCGAGTGCTCTACCACTTGACCTACAGCACCACTTCCAGCTTTTCTGGTGGTTTACTGGAGATAAGAGTTTCATGGGGGCTGGGAAGGTGGCTCAGTGGTAGAGTGCTTGCCTTGCATGCATGAGGCCCTGGGTTCGATTCCTCAGCACCACATAAGCAAAAAGAAAAAAAAAATCCGGAAGTGGCGCTGTGGCTCAAGTGGTAGAGCCTTGAGCTGAAGAGCTGAGGGGCTGTGCCCAGGCCCAGAGTTCAGGCACCATGACTGGACCAAAAAAAAAAGAATTTCATGGACTTTCCTGCCCGGGCTGGCTTTGAACTGTGATCCTCAGATCTCAGCCTCCTGAGTAGCTAGGATTACAGGTGTGAGCCACCAGTGCCCAGCTGGGTCATTTTTCTGTGTTGTTGGCAGTGGTAATGGTGGTGATGGTGGTGGTGGTGGTGGTGGTGGTGGTGGTGGTGGTGGTGTGTGTGTGTGTGTGTGTGTGTGTGTGTGTGCGCGCACTGGTCCTGGGGCCTGAACTCTGGGCCTGGGCACTGTCCTTCAGCTCTTCAGCTAAAGGCTAGCGCTCTACCACTTGAGCCACAGCGCCACTTCCGGCTTTTTTTTTTTTTTTCTGCTAATGTGGTGCTGAGGAATTGAACCCAGGGCCTCAGGCATGCAAGGCAAGCGCTCTACCACTGAGCCACCTTCCAGCCCTGGATTTTTCACTCCAGGATGGTGCTCTCCCACTTCAGCTGCAGCTCCACTTCTGGGTCTTGGTGCCTACTTGGAGAGAAGAGTCTCACAAACTTCCCTGCCCTGGCTGGCTTCGAACCATGATCCTCAGATCTCAGCCTGCTGAGCAGCTGGGATGACAGGCGTGAGCCACCGGCGCCCAGATGGGTGATCATTCTTTTCTAGACAGGTGCATCTGTCCTACTGAATGGACCGTGTATACCCTGGCCACAGGACAGGGGCACGCCACGGTTCTGTCCCCAGAGCCACGCGGTCTGCATGGGGCAAGTACAGGGAAAACACTGTGGAATCCCGGGTATTGGTTGAAAGAAACTAGAAATCCAACCGATCGCGGTGGAGCATGCTGGGAGTCTCTGCACTTTTGGAGGCTGGGGCAGGAGTAGGAGTTCCAGGGCGGCCTGGGTTCAAATCCACCTGGCTCCAGGATGACCTCCTGCTGAGCCGGTCTGGGACACAGAGGATTGCCCGGGACAGAGGCCAGAAGGAAGTCCCTGCGCATGCGCAGGCCGCGCTGGCCCCAGGCCAGCATTTCTAAACCGTACCTGGCACAGGCCCCGCGCCAATCACGCAGTCCACCCCACACCAGGTGCTTGCGGGGTCCCTGTGCCACTGGTGAGCGCGACGCACCCAGACCAGGCCGCTCTGATCTTTCCATTCTTACGATCATTCGGCGGGAGAAGGGTGGCGAGGACTTTTCCTAGCTGGGGCTGCTAGATCTCTGACTCCGGGGTGGCTGGGATTACAGGCGTGAGCCACACGGGTGCCTGGCTTGGTAGTTGCTGCTTTGGGATAAATCCTGGGCAAACCCACTGGCTCACCTCAACCCGCAGTGGGGGAAGAGAGCTGGAGAGAAAGTCCTGGAACTTTGGCATCTCCAGAGGCTCAGAGGAAGAATGAGAAGTCCCCTCTCCCGGGTGCCCCCCTCCCCCCCCCCCACACTGCAGAGTCCTAGAAGGGTGTGTCATCTGTCATCAGGGGCTTAGAGGAGTCTCAGCTGCTCTTTCCCCTCCCCTCTCCTGCTGGCCACCAGCCTGGCCAGCGATGGGCCAAGCCACGCCCACCCCAGGGCCTTTACACCTGCTGTTTCTCCTGGGTGTCCCCACATGCTGGCCTCCTCCCCTCCTTCAGGTCTCTGCTCAGATGTCATACCTCCTAGAAGAGGCCTGCAGTGACCTCCTCTCCCCGCTGTTTTGGTCTGTGACCCTCTGGGTGGTTAAAACCCCAGGATGGTTAAAAAGAAAAGATGCATTGTCCTCATACCCCGCACTCTTGAGAGCCCTTTGCTCAACTCCTTAAAAGAAAATAAAAAATAATAATAATCCTAAAAGCAGCTCTCGCCTATCACGTCATTCTAGCTAGGAAGGAAGCAGAGATCTGAGAATTGAGGTTCAACGCCA